TCCATAATTCGTCATCGGCGATTACTTCCGAAGTATCTGGAGATCAGGATGTCCATCATGAACGTCCTCATCGAGGCCATTGTAGTAAAAATCACAAAAACTTATAAAATAATACTCACGGGGGGCCCCGAACAACAAAAAAAAACTAAAGCTACCTGAAGGAGTCTATTCTGTTTGCAACCAAAAATTCAGAAGGTTCCCTTGCAAAGTTCGCAAAAAGTACATATATCAATATCGATAGATTTTGACCTCCCAAATCCAATGGTATAACTCTCATTTGCCCGAGCCAGGCAAAATCTCGAGAAAAACACGATCAAAGTTTCGAAAATTAACATGGGCAACATAGAAATGCATGAAAATTTGAGCTACATTTACAACTTATGAAAAGAAATCAAAGTTCGCAGGGGAATGATTATATACCTACAAATTGTAGAGAAAGTTCTCATCTTTCCAAAACCGTGTTTCGAATTAGAGGTAGCCAGCCGTTTTTTCAATATTTTTTTCATAAAAGACGCGAAAACACGACTTTTTCGGCTTGTTTTCGGGCTAACAGACGACAAGCCAGCTAACTTAACCCATGGTACAGCGCGAACTCTCAATTGAGTAGCGTGTTATCCGAGGGAACCTCCTTAATGGATAAAAACTATGCAGGCTTGTTCAATTTGACCCGGAAATACGTTTGTACAGTGAATTAGACAATTCTAAAGGAAAAAGGTCTCTTGGCATTTTTCTCCTAAGTCGATGGTTTTTGAGGTATTCAACATTTTAGGTGTAAAAAAAGCGGAAAATGATCAACTTACAGTGCGGAAAAATTAATGAAAAATCGAAATTTTCCTTATAGCCCAAGTATTTACGTACACTTCAAACCTTCCTTTGTAAGCTCCCGTTGAGTTTTTGGCGATAGCTTCATTTCTTCACTTTTTATTAAACTTTTAAATCAGCGTGTTTAACCTTAGACACTGCCGATATAATAATCGTAATAGTATTGAAAATACTAAATATTCATAATAGAAAATAAAAATATTCATAATAGTATTGAATTATCGTATCATTATTTGAACGGTAATTTATAAATAAAATTATTGAATGCAGACTAAAAATCAATTGTTAGAGGATTTGAAATGTTGCTGTTCTTTGCTATAAAAACCATTATTCTTTTTTTATTTATGATATTTTTTAATATTTATGATGAAAAATATCCGTTATTTCCCGAATTGCTCTAATCCTCGCTCTCACCCCTTGAAAGCTCATCATTTGGCTTACAATAAAAGAAAATCACTGTCCGACCGCGATTAATTAACTCTAGATAGTGTCACACGCGTCAGCTTTTTTTTCCTTTTAAATAACATGGGGAAATTGAAAAAAAATGTAAATTGAAGTTTTAAACCACTTAAAATCGCTAAACCTTGGGCTTAGTGACGGTTATCACTTTCTGGTAGACCCATTATGAGTAACCAATACATACGGTAACCTTCCGAACGAAATTTTGATTCTGCGCACACGATATACTCCAAAAATCAAGAAAAACAGCGTATTAGCGTTGTTTTTCGATATTTTACAACGAAAATAAGCGTTAACGATCATCGAAGATATGTTAACGTCAAAGTAGAGATCAAGTCCTTTAATTTGATAGTAATAAAACCTATCTACGTTCATTAGAACCAAAGTTACAGGTGTTCAAAGGTTCTCTGAAAATTCAAATATCAATTTCGCTCTGAACGGTTCACAGATGCGATACCTGATTTTTCAATCAAACTTCAAACATCAATTTTCTCGACACAACGATAACCATAGAAAACAATAGTATTATCACCAACTGGTTTATGAAACCGTCAGCGTCAACAAATCAAATTTCAGAAATTCAGCTGGCTTAAACTTGTAAAAAGGCCTTGCAATGTGAAAGAAGGGGACAGGTCAAGCATATTAAAAATTAGTTGTTATGTTGAAGCGAGCGAGTATCTAAAAATGGCATAATGGCTTCAGTTGAAATTTCAGACGTAACAAGCTGAGATTATTTTGCCTCGGATCAGAAATGGCCAGCGCCGAGAGTGTGTTTGGGAAGGAGAATTCGTTTTTCTACGAAGCTCCAGCGAGCTGGCCCCGTCACTTACGTATTTTAGGTTGGCTGTTCGCATAGCCAGACATAATGTATGAGAAAATGGAGAACAAGCAGGTCATTAATAAAGGGTTGAGAGCGTGGCATGGCGCGACTGCCTCAAGTGCATGGTATAGCTTCGGTCACAGCAGGTTCCGTATGTATGTGTGTGTGTGTGTGTGGGTATTCTGCATTACCGTCGTCGCCGTCATCGTCGTCGTCGTCGTCGTCGTCGTCGTCTACCTACACCCCCGTTTAAACGCGATAAACGCATCCTCGCTCGCGTTCAAACTTAACTCTGCAGGCATCTCTCTTTTCTCCGATAAACAATGCATCGTCAGCGCGCGCAAGCGAGAGAGAGAGAAAGGGCGAGAGAACCGGGTAAAACAATGAGCCCATCTTGAGGCAGGAACCGAGCATAAACAACGATCCAACAATCGACGATCCTCGCCGTACCGATACATGCACACACACACATGGGCTGCACGCATTCATATACATATAGAGAGAGGCCAGCACACACATTGGAACCGAAGAAAGCCGAGTTCAGACACGGAACGCACGAATGCGCGTGTCCCATCCGTCGTCGGTTCACACGCTGCATATATAGCTGGCTTGGCTCCCTTTGGCAAATCCATCGCGGATACACACACACATACTCATACACATACGAGTACACGCACACGTACGAGCTTATGGATAGAGGAGAAAATTCCTGCTCGCGCCTACCAGTGCTGCTGTTGTTATGGCCCCATCATTACGCTTATACACCACTACGCTTTTTATTTCAAACTAAAGGATCGTAAATATCTTGCGAAAGACTACTGTCGTTCTTTCTGTGCTGTTGCTGCTGCTGCTGCTGTTATGTATTCTCCACCCGCGACCGCTACTGCCCACTTGTAATGAAGGACATCCTCGCGCACGTTAATTAGTCGATAAATTATCCCTCAAAGCAACTATAAACTCGCGCGACATTCGGACCCCTGAACTCTCTCTTTTTTTTTCTCTCTCTCTCTCGCTACCTTCCCTTCTTTCTGCTTTTCGTTCTCGTTTGTTTCGAAAATGTTAAAAGCGCACACGTGCTTGCAGTGCACCGGGCGCGAGGATATCTCACTCGTTCATCTATATACGACTTTTGTTGATACACCGAGTCCAACGCGACACGTTCACAGCTAATCCTCTTGCTCGCCATCGAGCCGTAAGAGTCGCGAGATGTCGGCTTATACGACTAGCTCTATCGAGCCGTCTTACTCATACGCCTGCACTCGTGCACATATTCATATCGTTGAGCTTTTTTCTCTGCCACTTTTCAGATATACCAAATAGTTTTCGGTGGCTGGTTATTAAATCTATCGTAAAAACTAATCGATATTTATACTAGAGCAAAGAACTAAATGCTCATTGTCGCTCTTGAATAAAGAATAAGCGATTTCAGTCGATAAACTTTAGAGTAAACTCCGAGCAGAGTCACTGCACGAGATACGTAATCGGAGATCATGAGGCTCTGTTGCAGTAGATGTATGTATGCGTAAAAGTAATAAGCAGTAGTCGTCGTAGCGGCAATCGAGTTTCACTGGCACAACTACCACACAAGAACCTTATATCAACGCTAGAGAGCATCGCAGCGAATCGAGCGCGTAACTTACGCACGATATTATTGGTGTACGTACTACGTACCCATAGCAGCTAGAGGTATGCGCGCGATCGAATTTCTTCGGCCACAAGATGTGTGCGATATTTATCGGAAACACGCGGACACGAGTGTGCAGCGGGCCCGCTAGCAGCAGCTACCTGCACCTAGCGCGTGTACAAAAAATAGCCATCACTGCCGATGCTATACAACTCGCGAGTCTTGTTCTTGTTTCGCGCTCGCTGCTGCACGAGGACAAGCGCCAAGCTGCTGCTGCTGCTGCTGCTGCTGCTGCTGCCTTTCCTATATTCCAATAAACATTTGCACTTTGTCTATTTGCCCGCGTTTATCGTGTCTCGTACACAGCGATTCCACGTTACACAGGCTCGACTCTCGACGGAGAGTAGCTTCGTGAATTTATGAACCGGTTGATGCGACTCGATAATACGCACCGAGCAGCCGTGTAAAGCCGTATCGGCAGAATACGCCTCTGACTTATGGCCTCGCAAAGACGTCCTTCGTAATTCGTTAATTGTAAGCTGCTGCGAGCTCGCGAGTAAAAGCACGACTTCTGGAAGCACATCGACTCGCGCGATCGCTAACCGTCCTTATCGCATCTGCCGGGGCCTTGTTCAGACTCTCCTTAATTAATTATCGCATATTTTCAATTAACTATATACATACGGCCCGAGAACAATTCATAATTTTACCAACATCTAAAGTAACTAGTACTTGTACTTTTATCGTGAGGCATAATAACTCGAATATGCGTGTTTTTTTTATGCATTTATGACAAATGTTGCCATTGAATATTCTTATTGACTGGTGTCTCCTGATTTTTCTCACAATCAATAAAAACTCCATCGTCTGAAGGAAACGTCACTGGCTCTTCATTTGACATTTAATCTGAATTACATAGAAGAAAATTATAGACTGGTTTTTTAATGCACTCTTTAGGCTCATTCTGGTCTAAAGATTTTATTGGCCGAAATAAATTACACGCTCGTGGGTTGTTTGGTGTTGGCCCTTCAACGGCAGCAGCAGCAGCAGCCGTTTGTGTTTTCAAGAATGGCACGTATAAGTAACGTTTTTTCTTCCTTTTGGAGATTCACAAACTTGTTCAGCGTGAAAGACGAGACAAGAAAAGAGAAAGAGAGAGAGAGGAAGAGAGAAAGAAACGTATCGAAAAGAGTTGGAATTTTAATTTGTCAGTGAATGAAAGATTTTCAGTAAAGAGGATTTTTTATTGACTTTTTATTGGATAAAATTGTCCATCTTCGCCTCCGATCGTTTTGTACGCAGACACAGAGACACGCGCGCATGAATACTTACAAACACTCGGCCAGGAGCGAGTGTACTAAGGATATGTAAAAAATATTTTCGCTCGTTGCATCAGCGTGTGATATTTATCGTCGACAAGGTATATATTCGCACACTTAATGTGCGCCTGCACACGGAGCTTTGCGCCTATAACTTGATAAACTTATGCCGTCGCTTTTTTTAGGTATTATTCGTGCTCGCGTGGATTCGTTGACTCAGACTATTCACATTGATCGGAGGTTATCGTCATTTTTATAAAGTACAAAGTCGTTTGCACAAGTTACAAAAATAAGTAATGAACATTGAACAAAATAAGAGCATATCGATGCGATAGCTGCGAAGCAATGTACAGGCTTTTATTTTCCTTTTAAAATTCATAAAGCGAATTAATGTATTGTTGAGCTAGGAGCGCAGTTGGATAAGTCTCTGGATGTACGATGACCAGATGCGCCTTGAGTTCTTTGGTCAAATTCGTCTCGAAGGCGTTTTCAGCTTGACACAAGCGGCAGGAAAACAGGGACTTGCCGGGATGCTTGTTCGAGACGACGTGCTTTCTCAAGTTTTCCTGTAAAATAACAAACATTACATGAATAAACAGCTATAGCTTGGTGCATGTATATATACTAGCTGTTGCCGGCAATAGGTGTGCGCAGACACGGAGTCAGCAGCGCGTAACGTTCGTACTTGACGATAATACAGCTTAGCGTCGTAAAACGCGCGCCTCTACGCAGGCATTAAAACGCGGCAAAATATTCGCCCGAGTCTCTATAAATACGTCAGAATTATTATTCACGCGGACGCAGCTCGTAAACAAATCAATATAGCAATTCACTCTGGCCAGTCGCACGTGCGCCGCACTACGTACGTTATCAGCGAGTTCCATGGACTTGTTCGGTGCGCCATTTAATAGCCGAGTGGGCAAAAAACACCTCTCGGCAAATACGAGCCGACTCCGAAGAAAGGTTGATTTGATAATTTTGATTTTTACGACGATTTACTGACTAATTGGACTACTCGAGTTGGAGCGCGGATGAATGGCAGAGACGCTGCGGCAGCGGCCGTTGTATACTCGGAAAGAGCTTCGCCGGTCCTCGGCGGCGTGAAAAGGAAACCAAGGTTAAGTATCCGAGCGAAGCCATAAAGTACGTCCGGCCGTTTGTGCGAGCTGTTGACGCTCGACGGCACGAGATTTAATTTGCCATATAAGTAAATCTTGGTTTCGCAGCTTTGCAGCCGGAGAGATTTTTTTTCCTCCTCTTTCGTTTCCTGCCGTCGTTCATTGATCTTTCAAACTCGAGGATTCGGCTCGAATCGCGAATCTCTCGTGAAAATGTATCGTTCGCGTTACAAGTAGTGCTGCGAGCTGCTCTCGAGCAGAGTCGTGTTCGAGCATCTATGGCGCAGCTCCGGAGATACGAGCCTATCTGAACGTCTCTCGAGCCATCTACCGGTTCTCTCGCTCGGGGTATTATTAGCGGAGCACTACTGTGCATAAATATACACGTGCGCTTGGGCTAGTGCGTGCGTGTGGGCACCGAGCGACACAATTAACTAGTTATCTTATCGAGCGAGGCCAGCCGCAGCGCCACCGATGCCGCCACCGCATCGTGAGTCCTCCTCGGCAAATCTCAACTCTCTCCCATTCTTTCTTTCTTTCTTTCTCTCTTTATTTTTAGTTGCCTCTTCGCGATGTACGAACAGGCGTAAAAAAAATTAATAAAGCCGCTCCTACGCGTACAATTACCCGCGATCTGTTTAATTTACGCCCTTGGCGGGCTCGAGCGGCACAAAAGCCCACGATTTTAAGAGCTTGTATAAGCCTACGTTTATGGCCGGCTCTCGACAAGTTCGACAGTGTATTTTTCGTCGCTCCGCTCGTAGCGGCACGTATACGGAGCCGCTGACAGCTTTATGCCGAGGCGATGCGCGCATACGAACGAGCCGAGCGAGCGACTAGACGTATAGCGAGAGAAAAAGACTCGGCGAGAATTCGTGAGCTCGCAGCTATAGATCTCGATAATCAATCTCGATCAGCGCCTATGCTAGTTTCACGGTCACACGGATTGCTTCTCTTTTTTTTTGCCCTCGCGCGCCTTTCAGATTCGCCAACGAAAAATACGCAAATCATGGCAAAAAGCATAGCTCGGCTGCTATTTGACGCGCATAAATCACTATCGAACGATCAATGACGAGCCATTAATATCATTGTTTTGCTAATAATTTTGTCCGAAGCCAGGCGTATATTTATTTCCTAAAATGTGAGCAAATTAAACGGCAAATCTCGAAATACCGTCTGTATTTTTCGTCGCATTTTTTTGATCTTTCAACTGTTTTCTTTGAATCGTATACTTAAATCTTTCGAAAATTCATCATATTAATGTGCACCAGTTTGCGAATCGATTGCAAGCAATTTTCAGCGGAACATTTGGTATAGCCACACGCAAAACGGCAATGTTTAAAAGCAAGGAAGAAGCATCGATCTTTTGCTTGAAAGATCCAAACTGTCGAATGGCAAATAAAAGAGGCGCGAACGTCTCTGGCCAGAGAAAAGCTGTGGCGGAGCTGAGAAATCTTATCGATCCATTTAGCGCAGCTCGTTAGGCGGTGTCAGGCCGGGCTCGGAGACTTATTCGCCGCAGCGCTGGGACGCGCGACAATGTGCAGCAGGTCGCTTGTGCGTGTCTCGACAGCTCGCCAGTCCCGTATGTAGAGCGGGAAAATATTCGCGCCGTTGCAGCGCTTCGCGGTAGGTCTATTACTGCGCCACGCACTTCGAAGCGCATCGCGCACGCACACCCGTGCGCCACGCACAAATACATGTATATCGTATAGTAGGCGCGAGCATCGCTTTAGCCGCAGCTTCTTCGATCCTATTCGATACTTTTTTGCTCTTATCTTTGTTTCTTTTCGCGGATGTAAAGCGACTAGCGTAGCCGCAGCCGAGTATCGCGGATAAGATTAAGCGCCGAGCCTCGAGATTTATGGTGGAAAAGTGCAGGAGAATCTCTGGAGGAACCTGTTGGACGGTCTACTATACGCGTCGATCTGTACGAACGGCCTGCATGCGTCAAGCTCGAGCCGCTATAGATATCGCACGAATGAGAAGCTAATACAATTACCAAATTGTTGCAGCTGAAGTCGCAGTGCGGACACTTGTAGGGCCTCTCACCGGTGTGAACGCGAGCGTGTCTCGTCAGGCGCGTCTTCAGGGGCGTTCGGAAGTTGCAGCCAGGCTCGTTGCAGGTGAATCGGGCTTCCTTCTCCTTTGCATCTGGTCCGTGCTGATTTTTCCAATGCCTGAAACGATTGAGCGTTCTTACTTGTCATGTCATTTTTAAACGGAAAAGCATGGTGTAAACTGTTAAGTAAAAAAAAAACATGAGTGATGAGCTACTTTTATTTATTAGCCTATGAATACACTAATTTACAAGCTGCATACTGAGCACACAGAGATATTATGATTATCACTGCGTGTTAAGAAACACTGGACCAGCGAGTCTAGAATGAATCTACTGCTCGTAGGCCACCGATCGTACTTTATCTAGTTATTCCCAAGAGCGGCTTGATTCGAAACCTGCGCGCCTTAACCTACACCCTCTGAGGGCACCTGGAACGACAATATGATTACGACTCATGCTTATGCTGTTGTATAACTCTACAGGAGTCTCTATACAACTTATTCCTGTATACAAAACGACGATGCACTCCCTTTCTGGGATAATATTACTTTTCAAATGCCGGTTTAACGATTGACTAGACTAATGAAACAGAAGGTATTTTTTGTCAACAGATGTTACAGATTTTCGAGTGTTAATTTGTAAACACGATCAAGTATACGTCTACTTAGCATTTAAAGAAGTAAAATGTCGTAAAGTGGCATGTAAATATGAATCTATAAAAATAAGAGTAATTGATTGATTGATTGATTGATTGATGAATTGTAGTTTTTTAAAAGAAACCTTGGAATATAACCCCTTCTGGCCCAGAGAAAAAGCGAAAAAATGCTACTGATTGTGAGCAGAGTGAAGCAGAGATCGGTACAGGCTTATTTAATTACTAAAACATTGAAAATAATCAAGTGTAAAGTTAAAAAAATACAGCCACATTAATTTGTGGATTCTTTCTTGTACGAATAAGGCCTATATTTTATTGAAGCTATTATAATATCTGCTTTTATTTTTTCGCGTCGCATCTCGACATCTAATATTTTACGCAGGACATTATTTTATGTTCATCTGTTTTACCTGCGCATTCTAGGCAAAGTTATTTTATTATTTTTAATTAAAACACGCTTTTTCAGTAAAATAATTTATTTATACGAAAAGCCCTTCTGGTGTTTTTCCACGTCTATATACACGCGAATGATATATTCACGCCCGATTGTGCATATTTCGCAGAGAAATGATAAATCAAAGTTCATGTTTATAAATTGAAATGTGCGATAAATTTCTCGCTGCTTTAGCGCAAAATTTCCGTTGCGTAATAATTTTTCGCCCCGCGCAATTCGACAAGTACGTATTAAAATTAATAGCTGGCGTCTTATCTTTGTGCGCGCAAACAAATTCTCACATAATTCCCGGAGGCATATTATTGCTCAGGATCCCAGTGTGCGCAATATTATTTAATAAGCTCAATCGAGATATATCCTGTCCAGCGCGCCTTACACTCCAAGGACATGCATCTTTTGGTACATCTTATTTACGTATACAAGAGCTATAAATTAAGCCCTCATCCCCTCACGACTGCCGCATGTAAACTGCATTTATGTATATAGAAACTTGCACACACATACACATACACATCTCTCCAAATGGAAACGCTTATGGATCTTTGTGATTGTTTTATCATTTGCATTTTGCTGCATTGTTTTTTACTTTTCAAGTGGCCTGCATAAATTCAGAATCATGGAGAAAAATAAAGTAAGGCAGGTGTGTCACTCGGTTAAAAAAAAAAAAACGAAAAAAAACAGAAAAAAATGAGGGAAAAAAATCGAGCAGACAATTTGATGTTGTATCGTTCGGTCAGGTCGCAGTATCGGTGATTACGAACGCGTTGCGCCCCCGAGAAATATAACTGCCAATTTATAGCATCACTACGTGTCCATCCATTCCACTCCCCGCTTTGGTAGTTGCTACATTTGCGAACTGGCTATAATGTGCATCCGTCGCATAGCTGCAGGTGTATATAATTCTCTTCAGTTATTTTCGTGATTGAAGCGGCTTGATAAACAGAGAAAACCCAATGCAATGGACCCTTGTCTACAATAATATCGGCATATAAAGGACACTATTGAAACAACAGCCAGACTGGATGTAAGTTGATCTTTTTAAAATACTATTCTAATTAATTCATTTTCAATAAGATAAAAAGTTAATTTATGTTTTTTAAAACATTTATTAACCGAAGTATTAGCTAGCGTAGATCGCAAGGGGTCATACCCCTACTATAAAAATTTATATTATATCTATTTATGTATGAGTATACATGTGATAAAGATAAAAGGCCTAAATGACGCTCCCAATGGCATGACTAATAAAGAATAATGTGCTAACGATGCAAGCTATGATTAAAAGTTATTCATTAACTCAATCCATTTTTTTTCGTACAAACATTTTCTAGAAAACTCTAAAAATTCCTGAAATTATATCGACTATGCTCCTTATGTTTACCCCTTCGATTTTGCTTATCTTACAAGAACGCCACATCAGCCATGTATCCCAAATTGGCTTAAAAAATATTTTACAACTTCTTTACCAAACTATGAGTCTTTTTAGTGATTTTTTAAATTGAAAAAACAATTCTGGACCGTTTTTTCTTGAATTTTTTGAAAAATCAAAAGAGATGGATGTTGACTTTATGAGCATGGATCTCTTAATATACCTTTGTCAACATAATTTACTGCTCATCGTTAGAAAAATTGCTTTTTAAACATTATTATTGCATTCGGTACCATACTCTTTGCTAATTTGAATATCTGTGATAGGTAACTTAAAAGTCTTACGCTTTTCTTACGACTTTTCTAAAGAATACGTACATAAAAAATGTTTTGGAAGTAGGAATTTAAAAGTTTCTGATATTTCCTCTTATATTTTCTTATCACACACACGTCATGATTAAATCAATCTTTTTTTCAAGCTTATTTCTTTGTTCTGTTCTGGACGAATATAATTTTTTTATCATTATGCATGATCATGTATTGTAGCAAAAAGTTCGGTCAGACGGATGGTCAAAAAAGTGCAAAAAAATAATCCATCATACTCACGTGATAAGATACTGTTTGGACTTGGACACGTAAGAGCAATCGTTACAATAGTACTTCTGTCCTTTTACGTCGTGCACTATTTCTTTGTGCCTCCGTAGTTCGTTTTTTGTCCGGAGCTCGGTTAGGCATCCTGGCATGTCGCATTTGAAGTTTTTGCCGTCGTGTCGCATCATGTGCTGGCGAAGCGCGTGGCTGAAAAATAAAGAGCAAGAGTCACAATAAGAAATTAATTCGCATTAAAAGTTTTGGTTTGGCAAAAAATGATTGTAGTAGCGATCAACAGTCGATAGCGATATCGCACAATCGTACACAGCATGTTTTTCGCTTTCTCTCTCTCTCTCTCTCGCCCTCAACAAGAGAAAAGTCGAACAAACGCATCGGGTATTTCCTTGATCAATTTCAGAAACTAATTAAGCTGAATTTTATTTATCATCAATCAGATAAGATTGGATCAGGGCGATAATCAGGAAAACGGCCGGGGTATAAGCATCGTGCGATACATCCAATCACTTTGGCGATCGAAAAAATCTCAACTGAAGCTCCCCCGCAAAGATGTGTATTATAAGTATCAGGCCTCTTGCACGCATGTACTCTTTGGCCCTCGGGCGCCATTTATCATCATCAATTAATAACGATCGGGTGGCTTATGCGAAGCAGGCCAGCTTCCAAGAAAATGATAAACAGCGATTTAAATGCAAGAACGAAATCCACCTGTTAAGAGGCAACGAGAGCTGTTGGCGCACACACTCGCGCGTACATTACAGGCAGAGATTTGCGCGCCTAGGCCAAGTCCAGATAGTACAAGTGTGCGAGTTTAGTCGAGGTCCGACTGCTGCAGTTGTGCAGTGCACAAGCAGAGGTAGGGCCTCTCGCTCGCACGAGATCATTTTTTTGTCGTCGATGGCAGCAGCAGCAGAAGAAGAAGCAAGGACGATTTATAGTACATAGCGAAGAATGCCGCGAACAAAAGGGCATCCGATTTTTTTCGATGGCAGTCCTCTCTCTCTCTCTCTCACTCGCTCGCTACCGAGAAATTCCTCGGGGGCATATATCGGAAGCAGCAGTAGCAGCAGAATAAAGGCTGCCATGCATGGTTGTTGATGCTGCTGCTGCTGCATGAGGCGAGGGACATCGTGCAGCAAGAAAAGTAACTTCTCGCGGTCGAGGGCGCAGAAGGAGGACGCAGAACAGCGTTTAAGAGCAGCACACATTTGTGTGTATGTATAGCGCGCAGATAAAGAGCCAACTGCGAGTAGCAGCTGCATACAAGAGTTTGCAAAGCGAAGCCGAGTGCAAGGGAGAGAGATAGAGGAGCAATGGCGGAGCGCGAGAGATCTGGGCCGTCCGCGCGTTGCAATTGGCCGCGACTCTAACGCTGCACCGCGCTCGAACATTGTAAAAGAGAAAAGGACTCCCGCCCGCACTCGCGCATGAGAAATCAGCCTCGTAGAGTCTCGAGGCGCGCGCCCGGCTTAGAGCCGCTTATCTACCTGCCTCGCTCTGCGCTACTCTATTCTATCTGCCGGCAGCTCGGTCCCTCTGTATTCGCAGTTGTTTATATATGCACGCTGCAGCAGGCGAGCAATACGATTAACGATGAGTCCGAGCGATACCGGCTCAAGGGTCACTGTGTTATTGTCGACGCGATGCGCATCGCACGCTGCCGAATGTATTCTTTGATGTTTCATAAAAGTACGATATATCTCGCTACAAGAGCATGCCATGTTGGCTAGGGACAAAAATCATCGAGACACCATATTGTACACCGTTACGCTTTCGAGTCCGACTGAATTATCCTGTCGAATTTTCCTTGCCATTTCGTTTGCACGTGCATTTTACTCCGTTTTTCATCAAAGTTAATATTTGTCCATCTTTTTATTCCGTCTTTATGCCGAAAGCCTTAAAAAAGTTTATGAAACCGATAACGTATTGACATTCATTAGCTGTCTACACTGTCTTCCCGGCGAATACATAAAAAAGTTGTTTTGCATAAAATGCTCGTAACTTCGGCAAAAATTTCAGCATAAAGGGCTTTACATGCGCGCGTCTCCGCGTAGTCTGTGTATATTCAGAGCACAAAATTAACTTTATTAAAATATAAATTCAATCTGGCTTCGCCAGTTTAGTCAGTGCCAGATACGAGAGAAACTTGTCCTGCAGTGTCTATTCAGATCTCGAAATGAGCGGGAAAAAAAAGAGTCGATCCGCGGCACAGGATGAGAACTTCGGAAACACGTCACTTTTATAGTTGGTCGTAAAGTAATGATGCGCGTCGTCGAAATCGCGCGCGACTGCATGGAAAGCAGCACGATGCGAGGCTCGATAAATCTCGTCGGAATTATCATTAAAAGACAGTAAAAATGAAATTTTGCAATCGAGACGAGCATGCGGCGCAAGATCGCCGAGATGATTTTCAATCAGTTGCATTATTATTGCATTCGTCAAGGAATTCTCGATCTGGCAAATTTCATTCGATCCTCGAGAAGTTAACGAGTTCTCGTTGGGAGTGTCACGATCAGAGAGAAGAAGGTAGCTGCATTAAGAAGTTGGACGAGCACGAGGGCGGCGGCCGCTCGCAGCTTCACGGCTGGATTCGGAAGAGAGAACCAGTTTCCGATTCGGTCCGATATCGAGAGGTGCGCTCGATGCCGATCGAGACGCGTTACTCGTTCCATTAACAAAACGCATCTGCATTTATTGCACAGGCTTTGCTCAAAACGGAGCGCAGCGGCGGCAGACGCGAGATTCATTTGATGCGCGGGCATGAATCTTGGCTCGCTCGATCGTTGCGTCTACTCGTAAGATGCATTTTCGACTCGCGCAATGCATTTTGGGCTCGGATCGGTCGATCGCAGCCGACAGCAAACGACGCCGCGTCGGTTTGATGATTAGGCGACAGAGATTCGAGCTTCCAATGGCTCGCGGCAGCCGACTACGCTTCTACGATATTATACCACTTTTTATTTATTTACTTTTTTTGTGTTATTTGTCTCGCGCGGGCCGAGCTCGAGATTGAAGCCGGCCAGCCAGAGTCGAGAGTCAGAGAGCTGAGAAAGAGAACGAGAGAAAAGGATAAATACGAGCCGATCTGCTAGCCTAATGGATTGCTCGAATGGAGATGTAGGATGTTTTTGCAATTAAACTCGATGATTTAAAGCGCGCGCATCGTGCCTCCAAATCGATGGGCGGACGCCTTTAATGAGCTGACGGAAAGTCTAATTTTTTATCCCCACCGAGCGATCTTATATGAATATGCGCACACAGCGAGCGTGAGCAGTGATAAATTTATGCAACTTGAGATGTGGTAATAACTTAACCAAGATTTTTGCTGCAACTGCAAATATTACTCGGATCCTCGAGCAGCAAACGCGATATAGATGCAATCTCAAAGACTTGATAAAAATATCTTACGCTTTCCGATATGTTTTTTAACATTAATTCTAATTTCTATATCAATAATCTTCATTATATTTTTTGATCGAGCGCATCGAGTTAAATATGCAAATAAAAACGTGTTTCAAAATTTTCATTAGTGCTTTCATAAGCTGTGTTTATTATGATTGAGCTGATTTTTCATTTAAGGCAAGGTAAGTATGACTCGAAAATCAAATCCAAAATAGCAAACTACATGTACGCAGAAAAAATTACGCAGTACTGAGACTTGCGTAAAAAAAATTCGGTTCCATTGAAATGTTGAATATGTTGCTCTACAGTTTCGAACAACATAAGGCAAACTGAATGCATGAATGCTCGCGCGAATGGTAATAATTAGATATAAGTCTTGATTCAGCTCTAAAAAAATGCGTCTATTTGCATTTCAACGTCTTGGCGCTCATCTCTGTTTATCTGTATTCAAACCTACATCCTCGTGATCGTGTCCTTGCACTTGTTGCTCAAGTGTGTGTGCGTGTCTGCAAGTTTGCGCGTCTCTAGTCCATTCGGTATTCCCTACTTAGGAGGTCCAAAGACTCGAGACTGGACGTGTAAAAGTATATAGATGATGCTGCAGCTGAGTCGCCGGTCAATAAATATAAATCCTCGACGATAGCGCAGCACCGAACATCACTGGGATAGATCTTTGCCTCAGTGTGTGTGTGTGTGTGTTCGTGTGTGAGTGTATAGCTTTGCGATAGTCGTCGAGAGCTAATCAGCGAGGAAAAAACTCGTAAATCTAAGTGACAATTCGTGTAATTAAAATCAAGCTACTGAGTATAGCTGCCGTGTGTCGGCGAGTGACAGCGGCCGAGCGAGAATCTTCGCTCCTCTTTTTCTTGTAGTGCTTTGCTTCTTAACAGATAGCTGCCACGATGATCCCAGTTATCTATCTCGCTTTATCTATTCGTCTCTCTTTTGCCGCGCGTATTCTTCTCTCTTCTTTTCTCTCTGTCTCTTCTGCGTTCTCTCTAAAAGTATGTATGGGCAAAGCCATGCCAACCGTAAACTGCCTTTAATTGGAATTAAAAACAACAAAGCGACCACTGCAGCTCTCGAACCCCAATTGGCTTCAAAAATTTTTTTTAGCTTCTTTACTAAAAAAAAGATTTTCCGAGTTGCAATATGTAATTTTTAATCTAAAAAGCTGGTACTTTTTTAAATTTCGAAAATCGCTTTTGTAGTGGGCGTCCGGATTTCGTCGCAATTATTGACTTGTATGCATGCTGCAAGCTCATGCTGGGTCAGACGAAACTCGAACTTTGTATAGCTTCGATACTTCTTTGAACTCGAAAATCGCATTTTCATTTACAAGTTTGGCTCCAAATTCATTCGAAACGAGCTAGGAAAAGATAATAAATCAAACGGAGTAAGACTCTGAGCGCGATCGGATCAATGATAGCTGAGAATAAAATATTTGATAGACGTATAGAAGTATTAAACTAAATATAAAACTAAATAAATATGCGAATGCGATCTGATAAAATGTGTAAGTAGACAAAATGTCAAGCGCACGTGTATGAGGTATTAGAGTAAAAATCGCGAGTTGTTGTAACGACGATCTCGATATAATAAAGCTCGAGTCACTATACGCATGTATAAAAGTTTATGTTGATACATAAAAGTGTGCATAAGTCATTTCGATACGGGGTTTTGTATCTGCACGCGCCTCCATGTAGCTATAACGCTTTGCAACTGAAAAACGAAGGCGTGTGTCAAAGAGGATTTGCGGCTCATGGGCCCTGCTCCAATGAATGACG